CACCACCTTCTGGCCATACACACCACTCACCTGCACAGCAGGCAGCCTAGCTCCCTTTGCTGTGTACACAACTTGGGCACTCCAGCTCCCTCCCAGCCACCAGAGCAGGAGAAACTGGGTGGGGGAGAAACTTCCTACTTCAGTCTTAAAACAAATAAATAACAAAATATTTACTGTGAGGTTACAGAAAAGATTGACGCAGATCTTGCTCCACACCTACCACCTTTAGCCACACCTCACTGTTACTTTATGAAAAAAAGAAAACCAAAAAAAGAAAAAGAAAAGGATCCTGGTATGCAGTTGTGGTTCCAGATAATAACAACAGTCTGTGCAGGCTCATAAATGCTTCAGAATTGACCAAGAGGAAGCACATGTTTCAAGATGACACAATTTTGTTGCTATAGTCATTCATCTAAGGGAACTCCCACAGGGTAAGGCATAAAACTGCTTAGAGAAAGATAAGAAGCTGCTCAGTGAGTGCTAGTCAGTCAAACGTTGCATTAGATCCCTAACAGATGTCAACATGAGCTCCAGTCAAGGTCCCTTCCAGTTCTCTTCTGGATCCCTCAGGAGTACTGCAAGGTACAACTTGGCCCATATAGAAAGTTTCTATAGACCTTCAAGTACAGGTGCTGGGGTCAGCAGCATGCATGCCTCCCTCTTCTCTACCCGACCCCCTGGAGTGGGGGCATCTTGGGGAAGTACTGGTGCGAGCCATGGAGATAGCATTTTCCTGGGTGGGAATGAAAAGCAGATGATGCAGAACCTGAATGACCGTTTGGCTGCCTATCTGGACAAAGTACGTTCTCTGGAAGCAGCCAATGCTCAGCTTGAAAGCTGCATCGTGGAATGGCACAAGAAAAGATCTCATGGAAAGAGGTATGACTTCAATCAGTTTGAGCAAAGCATCGCTGACATGCAAGGACAGGTAAGTGAGAGCTGTATATAGCTGCATCATTCTGCATTCCTCCTTCACTTTGACAGCTGTCTTTACAGAAATGGAGATTAAATATTATAAATGCTACAAATATTAATGAAAGCTGTCTTGTGTACTCAAGGAGAATAGTAGGAGATAGGCAAAGGGAAAGAACAGAAGTGAATGTTGGAAAGACCTATGGCATATAGAGATGAAAACGCTGCTAGATGTTCCCTTTTTTTTGGAGGAAAGTTGTGCACTGATCTGCCATGTTTTGCATAATTTGACCTCTTTGCACACTGTGGTAAGCAATACAAAGACAAACTGAAAGGCAGGCAAAATATAGAAATGTGTTCTTTCAAAGGGAGAAGAATGTAGCCAAGTATTATGGGAGGAAGGGAAGTTGAACTAATGAGAAAAATAGAAAAACAGAAAGAGTATAAAAAAAAAACCCAGCAGAAGTCATTTGTGAATGTCCTGTAACAGACATATATTATATAGCTTCCACATAATCCAAATTTGCTATGCTAAACCAAAGAAATCCAATGAATTATGTACAGATGGGTTATAAATATGAATCAGTCAGTATATGCTCTGTGCACACCATTATCCACAACAGTTTTACCTACTACTTACAATGTCCTTGCAGCAGGCTCTGGCTATTCCAGACATATGTGTAGGCAAGTAATGATGTTGTTTGTGAAAGCACATGACAAAATGACGCCACTTCAACATTTGTTGTAGCACCGATAAAGGTTATAGGTTTTGGTCCAGTTTACTCAGTGCTCCAGCAAATGACCAAAAACCCAGAAAGGAGCTCACAGTAGCTTTTTCATGGGGTTAGTGGAATCAGAGGTCACACAGGTGACTTTGTATTTCATTTATTGTGACCTCCATGGTAGATGGTTTTGTAAGCATGCAGACAAGTAAGAAAGAAAAGAGAATGCTCCATTCTAATTAAGAAAGTTGCATGGACAAATTCACTTTGGGATGCTGCTTTCACTGTAATTAAAAGGAAGATTCCTGGCTAGCATCATTAGATCCTATCAACACTCAACAATAAGCCTGCCAAACTCACAAACTCACGTGGCTACAAATTTAAACATAATATTAATCTCTCTGCATAATAAAACCCATTTAACTCAGCACTCATCTGTGACTAATCAGAGTAATTTAACTCTCTGCCATATAAGACAAGAAACAAAGCTACACAACAATGGTGTTTTCAACTTATGAATGCCATTTTTTGTTTGGAATGGGGATGTTAGGATTTCTCAGGACCTTGAGAAGTCTTATTCAGAGACACCTGCTAACTGACATTAATCAGCCATTGTTGAAATACAGTAGGGAGGCCAGGGGCTGAATGCAAACACTTTCTCCCTGCTAAAGATATTCCCTCCAGGCTGAGGATGAGGCATACTGGCCATAGGCAATACATAAGGGAAGCTGGAATTGTCACTGTCTATGCCTTTGCTGGGGATAGGAAAAGACCATCAGTCTTTTGGCTTATAGTTTCAGAACTGATTTCATTTAAAAAAAGAAACATCTGATCCAGAGATCAATACCTGGCCTACAACTAATCAGATTTTCTCATATTCTGTGAGAGTCTGGAAAACTGTGGTTCTGATTCAGGGAAAAATCCAGACCCACAGAATCCAGCAAAGGCAGAATCCTCCTGAGTAAAGAATGAAAGTCAGAAAGATCAAAGGACCTAAAACACTGGATTATTCAGGATAAAGCCTTCAGTGGGAGTTGGACCGTATTTATCATCAAGCATCCATAGGTAGAAAACAATTATGAGAGTCAGAGGTGTTTAGTATGTGAGGGCCTGAAGGCCCTGGCCCCCCTCGAGAAGAGGGTTGTCACCCGAAATGTGTAAAACTTTCCGCATGCCCATCATCTTAGGCCCTGCCCTGGCAAAAATAAAAGTTGGTGTCTATGATGAGAGTAGACTACCTCTTGCCTGAAAACTTCTCACTGTCGAGATTTTACTGCTATTGTGGTCTTTATAATGAAGATACCTCCTTATAATACAGGCTGACACTTGGATTTCTGAGACTAAGAGCGCCCAGACCAATGGCTGTGCCTACCCTTATTCCAAAACTGGTGACTATTTTATTTGGTTTGGAAACCCTAAATTAAACAAATTTTCCTAATAATTTTTGAGTCCTGATGAGCCCTTGGTTGCTACCTTGGTAAACTCCATGATTGATCTGAGAGGAGGTCTGGATTATGACCACACATACTGTTCCCATTCCATAATTTCAATATTGCATCTGGTGTTCAAGTGAGGCCATTTAATTTATTTTCTGGTCAGTGTAGTTGTATTCCCCATTAAGATACAAATACTATGTAAATACACTGTAAATATAAAAACCGATTTATAAATCATTTAGATAGAGCTCATGCCCCAAACTAGCTCGCTAAAGCCCCGGAGACACTGGCTTGCTAAAGCCCTGGTGGACACTGCTTGTGAGGCTGTCTAGGAAGCTGATTTTAGGAAGAATTTGAATATGAAAGAGTACACTTGGTAGTCATGATGTGAGCTCTGCACCAACTTACTTAGTGCTTTGCTGACTCTACCTTCAGTGCCACAAATAATATGATTAATTCAGAGAAATCTAGAGGGCACTGCCTAAAGGCATTTAGAGCAGGGGTTGGCTACCTACAGCAGATGCTGGTGGATTATGGATCTCTTTTTTGTGACTCAGGTGGCTAAAATCCACCTACACCCCATTTGGACACCTAATTAACCAATCTGGAGCTAGCCTGTCATTTAGATCAGTGATGGAAACTTGTTAACCAGCTGTGGCTCTTTCACAGTCTCTGTAAAGCATACTGAACAGTTTGGTGCAGTTCTAAGCTGCCAGATGTCCACATTTAAAGTGACATTCTAGTCGGCAGTCTTCAGCACCTTGTACAAACAATGACTCACTTAATACATGTACTGTATGCAAATTAAGCCGTTTTCTTTGTCCTTTTATGGCAGGAGTCATCTATCCTTGTTATTGATTTTCCATATTAGGAAATGGTTATGGAACGCAGAGCATGAATGGTGCTGTCTGAGTTGTTCTCATTGAACTTCCACAGTGTAAATGATGGCCAGATTTATATCACCCCTCTGCTAAGCCTGGGACTGCTGCCAAGACAGAAGCCCTGCCAACTTGCTCTTGCTCTGCTCAAACACCTACACTTAGCAATTATGCAAAACAGACCTTTTAGAGGGGTCCTGAATACAGAGCACAGCACAGCTTTTCAGTCACTCTGTCTCAGGAGAGCTCAAGAGTGGGACTTAGGACCCATATAAGCTATAATTTTTGTGCTTGGCTAGGGATGCAGTATACTCATAGTCTATAACTCTCAAAAAGGGTTTCAACTGCTGTTCTTTTTCTTGTTTCCTGACAAGGTAACACATTCCAGGCAGCCGAGTGCTATGGTATTTTTCAGCTGGTCTTCTTCATGTCTTATTACAAGACCTGAGGTGGGATGTAACTGCTCATGAGTGCACTGCCTGTTCAGCATATCAGATGTACAGTTTTCTCAAATGAAAAGTCAACTTTTGACACTTCAAGATAATTTTGTCGTGGTTCAAATTTCCTGGTTCCTTTAAGATTCATTTAGGTGCAAAAGGTGTTACTCGAAAAGCCACTGGGAGTTCACTCACAGCATGATTTTGCCTTCTTATACGGACATGCTTCGCCTTGTTTTCCTATAAAAATATTTAGTGAAGGCTGAAGTAGAAATGTACATGTTTTTCTTCTTCCTTCATAATTGGAAAAGGACTCACTATATTAGTTTTTAGGAAAATAGATTGTGGAAGCTTTGAATTCAGACTTGTGGCTCAAGCCTACCTCACACTGGTCACGACTGAAAGCCATCACTTGGTGTTGGTTTTCCCTGTATCTTCTTTAAACAAGCTGATGCTTTTAGACCTGTTCCAACTAGGGCAGTTTTCCATATCACAAAAACACTAATGGGATTGTCAAGAATTTGTTCCTCCCTGGTGGCACATTCAGCATAGTGAGAGATGAAGCACTGAATGGATAGTGAAGACTGAATCCTGTTTAATTCCCAAATGACCATCCTTTCAGGTCAAGACTGAGATTCATTGACAAGCATCCACTTCCCAGGCTACTGAGGCCCTCTGGGCTATAGCTTGGCTTCAGCAGCCATGTAAGCACATGCCAAACTTCAAGCCCATTATTAGTTCTATCAACTTCAGATGTATTCACTTAGACACAGTTTAATTTCCTTGCTGAAAAGAGGGTTAAGAAATGTCTTCTCCGGGGCTGTCAAGTCAGATCCTCTAATAAGTACAATATTTTTTCAGTTTAGAGAAAAAAAGAGTAATGCCATCCTAGACCAATATATGAAACCTATGTGATATTATTTATGTTCATTGTCAAAAATGGTTAAAATGATTATACTTATTCTGTGGCCAAAAAAATGATACGAAGAAAAAAAATGTTGAGAATAGCGGATAAACTATTTCAAAAGCTCCTAAATGACTTAGGTTCCTAAGTATTATTTTGTCACTTAGGCTCCTAAGCACATAAATTAGAGGACTTGAAGGGTGCCTATGCGTGTGCTCCAACATGTTTTAATTAGAACGCAGAGAAGCTGACTCAATCTAGTCTGCTCCACATGAATGCTGTAGCCTCACTGCAGCATCATATGTATAAGCCCCTGAGGGTTTAAGAATGGCCACTGGGGTGCTTTAACTAAAGCTTGTCAAATGAGCTTTAGTTAAAGCATGCCATGGCCATTTTTAAATGCACAGGGGCTTGATACATATGATGCTGTGGCATTTTAATTAGAGCAGCTCTCCAGGAACCACTCTAATTAAAATGCCTCCCCCCACACCCAAGCACATGTATAGATGCCCAAAAATTTTACCCTAAACGTATTCCTGCAGACAATAGGAACTCCAGAACTTCAGACATCCCCAGTATGGAAATGCTGAGAACCCTTGATTTGGCAATGGATGTGGTTGACTCTAGATGTATTTTACAGATTCAGGATGGCAAAATCAGCAATGCCAGTGTTCTTCTGCAGATTGATAATGCTAAACTAGCATCTGAAGAATTCAGACTCAAGTAAGTTCTTTCTTGGCATCTTTACTCATGTTTGTAAGGAAGGGTAACAATTTGTATAAGATTTGTTTCTACTGAAGTGTTTTGGTAACATCTGAACAATAAAAATCAATCTACAATATACATAAAAAATTATGGTAGGATAATAAATAAATAGTAAAATCATGAATGATTATTGAACAATCTTAAGTCACCCCTTTTACAATACTTAGGTCAGGGTGTGAAAAGCAGACTTTACTGCAGCTACTTAGTTTTTATCACAAAAGGCATTTACAGACTCAACACTAAGTATAAATTAATACTGGCTTGCACCCCATCCTCTGTCATTCTGTCTCCCATGGCTGTCAGATTATCCTTCCTGACAAATAGCAGCCCCTTTCCCTCAGTAACCTCTCCTGTTTCCCACAGTCATGTTGCAAGATTGATTGGTGCCTGCTGAA